ATTTCCCTATTCAGTAAGGGAAGGGCAGAGCCCTGGCTAAGATCTGGCTGCCAGTGTCACAGTAACACCAACAAGGTTCCTGCAAGGCTCTTCTGCCTTTAGCTCAGAGCTAAACTGTGCATCAAAAGCATGGTGACACAAGAGCTTCAACATGTGCAGTGTCACAGCCATCTTTGGTGAGCCTGTAACATAGCTCTGAAACACATGAAGTAGCTTAGACATCAGCAGTGCAGATCAGTGAAGAAAGCTTAACTAGCCAGGCTCCATTCTCTTCCATCTGTAGTCTGCAGGGAACACACATCTCAGCCCTCTCCTGCTGGGTGCATACTGCTGCCCACCTCTCAGCTTACCACTTCCAAGCCCACTCTGCCAAACCCAATGGCTGTAATGTGGTGGTTTCCTAGATTTCCTGTCAGGAAAAGATAAGAAACTGCAACAAATAAACAGATTTCCCAACTCACCAGGGTGACTTTTTCTAAAGGATTATTCAGGATCTGTCATCAATTTACTGCCTGCCTCTGTCTGTCTTAAATTGTGTGTGATTACTTTGTTTAGTTTTGCTGACACTTGTGTTTTGTTTAAGGGTCTCTTTGTGCAATCCTTTTTGTCTGCTTTAAATAAGCACTCTTCCTGTGCATGTAGCAGCATGCTTGGGTTCAGCAAGATGTCTATCACTTAATAATCAAATGAAAAGTTTAATCACCCAAAAGCTGGCTTTCAACCTGCAGTTAACAAAACAGAAAAGCTAAGTGTGTTCTGTATGCGTTTTTCTCTCCATTTCTTCTGTTATCACATTTGCTAGTCCAAGCAAGTTTTAGTGCTGTGTATTCAGTCCTGTAAATATCAATTCAGTGTGCGGAAACAGGCAGCAGGTACTCTTACTTTGCAGTCAGAATCAGTCCAATAAAACAAAACAATTACTCAACTGCAGTCCTTCAAAAGTTGTTGGGTTTTTGTTACTAATCACCAAGAATGTATGAAATCCAAAGATATACACTAATAGCTTGCTGAGCACATCGGCTGTAGAAAATCGGGCAAGCATATCCGAGCAAACATGACACAGAAACCAAACAAGAAAACTACAAGTCATGCCAAGGTGCCATTTTTACAAAGTGACTTTAAAAAAAAAAAAAAAAAAAGACAAGTTAATATCCCAACATGGGACAATATAGCTATGTTAAAAACACTTGCCATTAACAGCCATCTGTTCTCTGCAATTTGGGGGTAATTTTTATGTTCAACTGACAGCTTTGCATCGCCTTCTCTCTTTCATGAAGGATTCTCTCTGCCCCTAGGGTAACAAGCCCCTGAGAAGCAGGATCTGCCCATTACCTTGTGGCTCACAATATGCTGATGCTGCTAACAAACATGTAGCACTCTGCAACAGACTTCCTAACACAAACTGGGCACAAAATTTGGAGGGGAAATATATGTATTGTTATTATATATATTATTATGCTAATAATATTCCAGTTCTCTCTAATAATATTCTACTCATGTCAGCACAGCCTGTAAAAAAATCAAGAGCCAAAATGTGCTGGCTGCCCTTGACATATTGTGATGGCATGAAAAATCAAGACTGCTTTCTCACCGTTCTCTGAGAACAAGGATAGATTTCTACTTAAGCCTATCTTCTTGATCAGAATGTCTCTAGTGTCCTCATGCCTTTTCCTCCTGTTTGAACTTGTTTCTTCAGACTATTTAGTAAATACAATTCATGTTCACACTTAAAGCTACCTCCTTTTGTTTTGTTATGTGTTAGAAGTCTTAAAATACACACTCCCAACAAACAGCAGGGTTGCACTTCCTTCGTTTGCAATCCTGCAAAGAATAGTAGCACAAGTGCAGAGAAAACTAGAATTCTATTAACATTCAAATCACATTCTTACCACCATTTCCATTCCTCAGATCTGATATAATTTTAATATACATTAGGAATAAGTCTGGAAAAAGAGAAACTGGAGCAGCTAGAAGTGATTTATTTATTGCTTTTTAGTGCTTCCTTCAATACACAAGAGAGATGGTGGTCAAACACTTCCACTAAATCTAGAGCAGTCCTGTGACTGTAGCCCACCAAGCACCCACCTTGTAAACACAAAGCATATTTATAGAGTATCTAACAGTAACTACACAGATCGGTCAGAAACTCTGTTTCAGTCCTATCTGCAGATACACTCAATTTGAGCCTATTCCATGTTTTAACCAAACAAAAGTGAAGGGGTTGATTTTAGGCTTCACGCACTGGAGAAAAAAAAAAAAAAAAAAAAAAAGACTATTTCTATAATTACCACTAAGGCTCAAGTTACAAAGTTATCAAAGTTATCAGTTATCAAAGACGCACCTTGAGTATTGGCTCACGTGTACCCATTTAAAATGAAGCTATCCCAGTGCCTTCTCCTCTCAAACGCATTTGCCTAAATAATTCTCTTGAGTAGGAATTTGGACTTATGTACATTCTCTAGGTATATTTCTGAGCTGACTGTTAGCTTGCCATAATCTACAAAATGGGATCCATATCATCACACTGGTTTTGTTTCATGCCTTCAACTTCCTTATACCTGGGTGTGATCCAGACCCAGAAGAATAACAGTGGAAAGACGTGCAGTTTTGACTTGAGCAAGTTCCAGATTAGTATCAAGACCTAGTTTTTTTTTCCTCTGTGCCATCCCTGAGCCTTGATACAGGTGACTTAAGAGATTGTTCCAGGAGATAATCCTCCACATAAACCGTGAGCCTGGCGTTCATCAGTTGTGAAGTAGGCATAGTATTTCTGCCTGTCTTGTCACTGAGAAAATGTACAGTTTCACTGCATACCTTAGAGCTCAACTTTTCTTCAGGTAGGACTTGTACTGCCCTGTTAGAACAGCCGTTCCTGTAGCACAATCTTCCACGTCTTACTTCTGAATTGTATTACAAAAGTACTGCAGTTTTTTTTGATTCATGACAGCACCACTCCATGAGGTCCCATTTATGAATATTATACTCTCCTAACTCTACGTTCTGCTCATAAGAATCAGCCTACCAAGATTCAATCGTTTCAGCTCTTATTCCCCTGCCCCTTTGCTGGTGGTTCTGCAGTAGCCCTTTTCACACGCTGAGATTATCATCACATCACTGCCTCTCAGCGCGATATTCTGCAGCTCCCAAATGCTCCTAACCCACATCCATCATTCAGTCCCTATGCCAGCTTCCCTTAACTCCTCCTGTACAGTCACAAGGTTTCTGATACCCCTGCTTTCAATCTGAGCTCTCCGTTTCCCTTGTGTGGCTGAGCACTCCAGTGGTTCACAGGAAGGAGCACCACTCCTGTAATTGCTCCATTCTCTCACGTGGCAGGTGCTGAACGATGGCATTCTCTGCATAAGAGCCAAAGGTGGTTTCAGCCCTGGTGCTTTCCCTCTGCAAAGTCATCAGTGCAGCACTGGCTCTGTTGGGCTGCTCCCATCTTTAGCATTCAGCCCATTAGTGTGGAGATGAGAACTAATTACCTCTGGCTTGTCTGAATCTCTGTATTACAGTGCTTGGGGTCAGGCAATAAAGGACAAATGGCATCATTCCTATTTCATTCCTTTGTCTCTCCAACTCCAGTTTGTTGTCTTTTGGTTGTGTTTTTTTTTTTTGGTAATCGCTACAGAACTTCTCTAAGATCACCTCTGTCCATCTCATTTTCCTGTCTATCTTGTCTTTCCCAAACATTGCATGTCACTGTTTTATTTACTTTGAAGCATTTTCACTATGAACCAAAGGAAATTTGGCAAAGCCAAAATTCTGTAAATGCAGAATAAATAAGAATGCATGTGTTTTACATTAGACTGCCTTGAATATTTAGTCATCCATTCTAGCAATAAATATATCTTACTTCCTTAAGCCTCTTGCTAACTATTCACTAGGACTGAAGGACTTGCTGCTTACAGTTCTTCTTTTCACTGATGAAAATTACGTATTGTGTTTTGGTGTGTCATTCAGTTCCTGTCTCCCACTCAAATGAGAAACATCAGAAACTGTTTTTGACCAGATTTGCAGTACAGAGTATTTCAAATTTGCAGATCCCAAGATGAGGAGTACAGCTGGTAGAGGCAAACCATTCCGATTTTGCAAGAAAACCTTATCAGCTAAGCAGTACTTCTGCAGACGGATACAGTGCTGAAGTCCATGAGCACAGACAGAATATCCTCTGCAGTTTCAGGTAGCTGACTTGTGTTTGTCCATTTTCTAGATAGAACTCTAAGTGTACAGATGACTGTATGGGGTTAAAAAGCTAACCTCAACCCACGTCTGCCCTCAGAATTAATCTCAGAGTTTACATGTCTTTTTTTTTCCTGAGATTTTCTTACTGTTCTCATCAGCCTCTTCCTGTGGGGCCTGCAGACACGCTGCAGGAAAGAAGCTTGCCAGGATATAAGAGAAATCTCATGAGAAATTCTGTTGTTGGTTCATTTCCAGGAAAATTCTGCAGACTCAAGACACATAAGTAAATTTCTCCAAAGCTGGGAGACAATACCTGTGATATCTCCAACAGCAACTGTGATCACTTCCTGAAGGTTGCTCTTAATAGTCTCATTTTTCAGACCTTAGTTGGATGTGAAAATGTCATTGCCAGGCCGAGCAACAGACACAACAAAAGCTTCATCTAAAATAATGAATTTGTCTTGAATTCTGCAGAGGGTCGAAGAGACTTTTACTCTTCGACCATTTGCAATTTTTTATTATTTTTTTAATTAGATGAAAAAAACCCTTTATTGTTCCTCTTTCCCTTATTTCTTTGGGCATAGGACCTGAATGTTTTGGAGTTCAGCAAAACCAATTATTCTGCTAGGGCCTGAATCTGCAGCTCAACAGACATTTCTTTAGCAACAACATTAACCTTATTCTTTCCTGCATTAGGCAGAAGGCTCTTCTCCTGAGACTGCACAAGGAAAAACAAGGGCCTCAGGACCACTACGCTAAACAAGGAGCACTTCTGCACTATCCAAAAAGAAATGGAAAGGACAGAAAGGTACCTGAAAACCAGGAAAGTCTTCCTCTGGACTCAATCGGAAGTATCTGTTGGCCCCCGATCCACAGCTTAGAATGCTCTTACAATAGCAACCATCTTCCATCTCACTAAGACACACCTAAAAACAACCAAGAAAAGCCACCAACGTTAAAACGCTCATTAGACAAAATCCCCAGGTATGAACCACAACTCTAGTTTCCCTAATCCTGATACCAAGATAGCATCCATACCCTCAGCTCTGTTATTTTGCCTGACAAATATACACAGGCATCCTTCTCTGAATCCAGCTGGGTCAGGGGTGAGATTACTGCTCACAGCTGCCATTACTGCCCTCACCATTCTCACTAACTCGATTCAGCTAACATTGTGGAAGACACCTAAGACCAATTAGAAAATACACTACACACATTGTCTCTCAACTTGATTGAGAACTTCACTGACTGACTTGATCATCATGCAGCGGGGAGTCCAGCACTCTCACTGTGCAATGCATGCGATAAAAACCTCAGCTGAAGCAGTGTGCTTCAGGGAAGACAGATGGAAGAACTCCCAATATCTGCTTCTGATCAGAAATGTCAATACCAAAAATACGATATCAATGGAATTCAGGTAGCTCCACAGACAGATGGCACCTAAGGTGGATCAGAAAGTTATTTTGGTTTGGCTGTTCATTTGTTTGGCTTTTTTTAAACTTAAATCCAACCTTGGGCATCCACACGTGTTATAAAATCTGTTTCCAAGTCACACCCATTATCTGTCGCATATGGGTAAGGTGAGGGGAACGCTTCTCTGTTCAGTATTCTTAAGCTGTTTGCATAAAATACATGCTAAATAATTCAGGAGAATATTTGTAAAAGGCAAAGTCTTCACAAATAATGAAAGCTAAAAACAGGATTCATTGAAAATGTTCCAGAGTTCCCTCACTCCTCTGCCATTGAGTCTCGAGTACACTCTTACTGTTATTATTGAAGAAAGGGAATTTTAGAACACATCCCTTGGACAAACATACCTCAGTATATCACTAAGAATATTTTCTTTTTCTTTTAAATGGAACATTTTCTTTGCCTTTAGTTGATAATTTTTGTCCACCTGCAAGCCATAACTGCAATCTGTCATTTCACGTACAGTGATCCTTACACAGATTCCCAGCCACAGTAAAATTAAGGTCTGATCTATCAACCACTGAAGCCAAAGGAAAAAGAACCTCCAGCTTCAGTGATAGAGAACAGAGACAGATAGAAATGGAGAAGTGTTGCCAGCTATTTGCCAACTCACCTGGGCAATTTAAAATATAGTAAGTTTACATTGAAAGTTCATTTTATACTGAATTGAAGATTGAAATCTTCACTCAATGAAAGAAAAGCAGCATATCCAGAACAGCAAAATCACATAAGTTCTAGTTTATGAAATAACCTTGTGTGGCCTAAGAGTTTCCTAAATAAAGATAAATGCATCAGTGTTTTAAGTACTTTGGGCTTTTTTTAAATGACTTTTTGTTATCCCGCTAGAAGCCAACAGTTGAGTTCACCAGGTCAGAGGACCATCTACATTGCTGATCTAACCCCAACTACTCTAGCCCACATCCACAACAACATTCTTCCAGAACTGAGTACAGTTTGTGTGCTATTCCAGGTGAGAAATTCATTCCTGCACCGCAGGCTCCCATTCTTGGATGCCTCTTTGTAAGCTGGATATTTGCAAATTGGAGTACTCACATTTCAACAATAAAGCTCCTGGAGATAATTTGATTTTGCACTGCCAGCCAGCACTTCATTGCTAATACTTAAGATGCATTACGTATTTCTCTGAGAGGATTAGCACTCAGATAATTAACTCTTCTGGGTGCTGAGTTTATGCTGTTCAGTGAAAACACACTGCACCCACAGAGACATGTTTGTATAGAGGCAAATCTAATCTCTAAATCTCTTATGTGGTCAGTAAATTAAAATCTAGGTTGCAGCAATTAAATGGATTCCCTTTTCCTCACTTTTTTCTTCTTTTTGGCACATGCTTGCAAAATAGTTCACATACAATCACTCAATGGCTGGAAAGTAGGCTTGGCAGAAGGAGCCAGCTCAGCGTGACTCCAGTCAAGACAAACAGCTGAATTATTGTGACGTTCGTAAACAGGTAATTAGTTTTGCATGTCATTGTTCACCGCCTCAAGCTCATTACTCAAGTCTTACAACACTCTCTTTAAAAATTCAGACCTGTTTGACCTGCTACCAGCAATAGTGCATTTCAAGCATCCATGGATAAAGTGCAATCTTGTCAAACTGAAGACACCTGCTCCCAGCAGGAGCCCTGCTTATGAACTGCCAAGTCTTTTGTTACAGTGCCTCAAGAGGGAATAATCTTTCCGTCTGGAATAACCAGCACCAACTTGGCTGCAGTCTTTAAATATTTACTGCCACACAAAATACATATAGGTATAGAAGCAGGAGATGCACAAATACAGAAAGACAGGAGACCACTTCAGATAACTTCTGCTCTTTGCCACACAGGCTTTTGAAATTCATTTTCTTTGGAAACTGGCTCCCCATCTCTTTAATCTTTGATACCAGGTCTGTCAGAGGGAAGGTCACTTCCCTGTACGGGGATGTATATAACTTGTTTCACAGGTGACAAAATTAGCTGTGTTTTCCTTTCCATTACTGTCATGCTCTAATTTCCTCCTGTTACTGAGCAAGGAGTGGATAATTTGTGTTATGGGTTAATCAGGCTCTGCCCTTGTTTCCTCCTTAAGCCCCCAGTGCAGCACAGCTCCACACACAGCATGGCACTGCTTCAGGTTCTGCTTGGCACACTGCTGCTTAAAGCTGCTCCTACTGCCTTCTTCACCAGCAGCACGGAGAAGGTGGATACTCTTGCTCAGGGTTTTGCCTGATATTATTTCTTCAACAATGCATGCTCTTGGACAGCAGGCTGTTTATCTCAGTTTACCTCTAGATTAACAGTTGCCCTTAATCCTTTTTGTTGTGGAAAAAAAAAAGCAAAGGACAAGCACTCAGATAATTCCTGCCTTCTCATATTTATTTTGTGAGAGTGCAAATGGTAATTTAACCTAATTACTTTTTAGTACTCTGACCATTAAAGATCCAGTAAAAGAAAGTGTAAGTCTTGGGTGAAGGTATCATAGAATTCAGCATTTTTTTCTACAGCATCTTCTGCAAGGGCAATGCACAGCCATGGGCTCAGTGCTCCTCAGACTCCCACAGGTGGTTTAATTCAACAACATTTCTTGCTGTCTTCACCACCCTGAAGAAATTTCATTGAGTAAAGTCCATTTTGTGATACTTAATCATATATATGCAAATGTTACATTTAGAATTTGGAGCTCATTGTGAACTTATTTTTCTTGAGCAGTTATTTTAAAATGTGCTTTAAATCAGTTTTGCAGTGAACATGGGGTATGTTTCAGCAACAACCATTTTTCTCCTGATTAGTAAATTACTGTTGTTTCCAATGTTTCATTCTAACTACTACTTGCTCAGAGTCACAGGAAAACAAAGCACTTAGTCAAGACAAACTTCCCTTTATTTCCATCTCAGCAAAGAGAGGTCTAGATTACTTTTAGAAAAACAGTTTTCAGCTGACAAAGTGAAAAATGTTGCATAACAGCAAACTTATAACACAGTAAGAAAGTTTTAATAGAAGGATTACCACTTTCTGTTGTAACTAGTTTAAAAGTCCTTTAAGAGTTTCTGTTAAGAGCAGAAGATTATGTTTGCAGTATTTATGTAATTTCTATTGGCTGGATGTGTAATAATTTATGAAAGTTGTGACAACACAGAGCTTTAATACAGATTAAACCACACAGAGGGAAGAAAATAGAGCACTGTGCCACTCTGTTACACAGAATACCAATCCTAGGATCATTTAGATTTTTAAAACAATTCAGTTTAGAAATACAAATTGTGTTTTCCCAACCAATGGAAAATCTGTCTCAAGCACATATTTTTCTGGGGAGCTATGCATTACTTCTATCTCATTACGTGATGTTATCTGTATTTCAGATTCCATTTGTACAGGCTTAGGAAGACACAAGCAAATCATTCATATCATCCTCGTCCAGAGACGATAAATATCCTTAATGTTATATCATTTTGTATTCAGCATTGGTTGTGTATCTTCAAACTTATCAGAATTCTACCTGTATGCATTTCTATTCACAAAGCTGGGCAATCATCATGCAAGTCTTAGAGTATGACAAAGGTTTTAGCTTCCTAGTTCACAGCAAGTGTCCAAAATAGCTTCCAACAGTCAATACAGAAGAGCTGTGATTCTACCAGGGCACTGAATGCAAAAACGAAGCAAGGGCTGGCCTAGTGGACAGCTGGATAAAACCTCTCTTCAATAGCAGATAGTTCTCATCTACCAGCCTGATAAATACTGGAAAAGAAAGCGTTCTCATGTAGGATCTGTATTTAGAACACCAGCTGGAAGATAATCTAAGTCTGGTTTTCATCTGGTCAGGAATTTTGGTGTCCACAAGATCAGTGAGCAGATTATCAATGAACTGATGGCAAGTAAAACAGAAGCTGTAATAAAGGCTTCATAGCTGTACACCTATGGATACGTGTCTGAAATGTACATGTAAGCACATAAAACCTCTGGATCTGCTTTTTGCATTTGCAGTGTCTGCATTTTAATTAACATCAACTGTAAGCGTATGGTAGACTAGGCATAATAACAGTAATTAAGACCTTGGCCTATTAAAACACATCAGACACATAAGCACAAAGGCAAAATCCAATTTGGAGAAATATATGGAGCATTCAAAGGTCAGTACTGAGATTTTATCTGGGACAACTAAATAAACAGGCAAATTCAACCCTATTTAACAATAAGTGTTTTTCTTGAGATCTCAAGAGTATTTCCAATTATTCACAACTGACTAGCCATGCAGTCCTTTCACAGAACTATAAACAAGTCACCACAATATACCAAGTTTGACAAAACTGTCCAACAGCCCATTAGCTGTACAACTGTGCTAAATAGCCAGAGACAAGTCTAAATCTGCCAGAACCAGTGTCTCTCGAGTCTGCTGGGGGATAGATACTTGAACTGCAGGAATATCCATTTGCAGCTTGCCACCATCTGGATCTTGCGAACTAA